TTTTTTTGTGACTACCAGGTGCTTCCAACGGGTCACCAATGGACAACCCTTACCCTACCTATAGGTCTCCATTGGGCACCCATTGGAAGTGCTAGGTATGGGAGTTTTTCAGCAGAAAAGAACACCTGAAAAAGCTCCTCGGCGCCACCCGTCCCTTGCGGGTCAGGAACAACTAAGCACCCAACCCTCCTTCGTGCCGTACCTGCGTGAACGGCACGTCCAAACCGCTTTTGCGTGAACCGGTTCCAAACTGTTTGGCGCTTCTTGAAGAAGAACACTTCCTGAGACTCCACACAAGGGGTATCAGGTCATACTTGGATTGTTGCTCGCCGGAACCGGACAACATCGTCCGCTTTCCGGAACTCACCCACAGGCAAATCACCTCAAAACTAAACTTGACAAATCAAATAGTTATATGATATGTTATATGCATCTCTTCCAACCTAAGAATCGGGGGCCAAACCAAAAACCATAGCCGGAACGTGTTCCCTTCTCTTTTCTTCGGGTTTTCTGAGCTCCGAGTCGTTTAGGTCCGAGGTCGTTTCAGCTCCCAAGGGGTCCAAAGAGTCGAGGGGTCGCTTTCTGGACAAGTCCGACGGTGGCACGCGCAAGGCCGACGGAGTGACTGACTCGGTCTGATGTCGGTCTCCAAACGGTGGCAGTTGATCTGTGAAGTGCAGGAGACAAAAAGAAACAACCAGGACCTTCAGTTCGTGACCTTTTTGGAGTCTCTGTTTGTGACCTCTTTAGGGACTATATAAGTGACCTCATTCTAGGATCTCAAGGCTGGTCACTTTGACTGCTCTGGAATCTGATGTTATGAACAACACGATGGCACTCGTGCATGGGATCCAGAAAAAGAACATCTGTCCTACACCCGAACAGACCAAGACCGACCCCTGGGTGGGCGCTGGTCTATAGGTCTTTCTTTTTCTCAAACAAAAAGAAGCTGAGAGCATCTGAAAGCAATCACTACATTCTTACTTATCCATGACTGGGTGCTTTTGTGGCGGAGCTTAGCGCATATGAGAAAATGCTTCACTCCCAAATCAATGCTATCCGCCTTTTCTTGTGAAAGCAAATCCATTGGAGGCACCATATGCAAAAATACCTGAAATATCTTCAAAAAGCGTAGCGGCCGCTATCAGCGGATAAAGAAGAGCATTCGTAAGAAACTTTCTTTGGACGAGATCTTCATCATGGACTGAGGGCGCTTGATTAACATTTAATTCACTCGTGAACTGTGGCACCTTTGTATGTATATATATATATATA